CGTACCTTGAGCGACGGGCGAGCGCGGCGGCCGGGCGAGTGGGAGACCCTCTCCAGGGATCCGGCACCAAGTGGGGTGCCCGGAGCGGGGACACGGGGGGAAGAGGGGGCCAAAAGGCAGGGAGGGTGGTGGGGTGTCCCCGGGCCTCCCTACTGCATCCGTGTGTCCGTCTGCGGGGTGTCTGGGCTCCTCCTGGTGCCCGCGGGCGCCCGGCCCCCCACCTTGCCCCTGGAGCAAGTTCCAGGGAGCGGAGCGGCGCGGGCAGCCGGTATTTTTATTTTGGAGCAGCGCTGCGGAGGGGGCCGGTTCTGGAGCTGTCTGTCACCGCAGCCGTCCGGGAGGACCCGGGGCAGCGGCCAAACCTGCCACCGGGGCGGGAGACGCGGCCTGGGGATGGCAGGGGATTCCTCGAGGGATGGGAAGGAGTCCCCAAAACAGGGATCATCTGGGTCTGGCTTCTCCTGGGTGCTGGGGGGCTGAGCGCGATGGGATCCCCCTTGTGATGACCAAAGAGGGGAGGTTTCTCGTGGGCCTGGGGTTCAGGGATGCCGAGGGCACCCAGGGCTCCTCGCCTGCTCTCCCGCTGTGTTTTCATGGCTTCAGGAGCCCTCCGTGAATCCCCCCTGGAAGATGCAGCCCCATCACCCCCATGGAGCGGGGAAGGCAGCTCTGCCTATGGATGGGGAATGGAGGCATGGAGCAGCAAGGTGGGACTCCTTAGCGTAAGCGTCGGCAAACTGGGATTCAACCAGAGCAGGGAGCTCTGGGCTCCTTCTTCACATGGGGATGGAGCTTCTCGTGCATCCATGGGCTCCCCGTGTGGCCAGGGGGGAGACATGGGGGGCAGAACCCCCAGCTTTTAGAAATCCCTTTGTGGGTCACCTGCTTGAGGAGGAACCGAGTCCTACCCGGAGAGCCAGCGTGGATCCCGTGGGAACTGCGCAGCTAAAGGGTGTCTGGATCCATCCGCTTCCCCATGGGATGGGATGAGGGTCGAAGTGCCCGTCCTGGTGTCACCGCTCCGCCGGTGTCGTCGGCCCTGCCCGGAGGAGCCCGTCTCGTCAGACCTTGGCACAATTTACTGAGCGCTTAGAGGAGAAGTAATTAAGAGACTGGTGCTGATGGGCCCACGAGGGCGATTCGTTGTGCTCCGAGGGCTGCGGAGAGCGCGGTCCATCGGCGGCAGCTCCGTTCATGGCTGTGCATCACCCTCCTGGGCAGGAGGGAGAGCTGTCCCCGTCCCCTGCATGGGGGACACGGAGACCGCGTCAAGCGGGAGCTTTCCAATGGAAATTGTAACGTCTGGAGCTTTGGGATAGGTAGTTACCCATGGATGTTATCCATTGGAGAGTCATCCATTGCCTTCACGGTGGAGCAACACGAGGAGAGGGCACCAAGACCTGGAAACGTTGGAAACACCCCCTGGAAACGCCGCCCCTTCCCACGTCCTGCTGGAGCCCGTCTCCCGCAGCGCTCCGCGTCCCAAAAAACCTCCTCTCCGAGCAGCATCCAGCCCGGAGCGCCGCGGTGCCCCGGGACGCGGCGGCGGCTCCGGGCACAACGGGCCCCATCGTGCGGCCGCGGCACCGGGGACGATGCGGATCTCGGTTGTTGTCGCTGTTTCATCGCGTTACGGACATTATTGTGCTCCGAGCGGCTTTGGGGAGCTTTGGGGATGACCCGGGGCAGCTTTTCATGAGGCTTTGGGAATCGCGGCACTAAAAATCATTTAGTTTTAATTTATAGGTATTATAAAATAAAAATAGAAAAAAAATAATCTTGATTTCTAACATAAGAGGATTTATTTCAGATGTGACCGCAGTGCCTTCCTTGGCACAGGGGGTGTCTCTGTGCTTTCTTGTCCCAGGGCTGTTTTTATGGCTTTGTGCTGGTTTTAATGCCATTTTTGGCAGCTACTGGAAGTTGTGGCACCCAAGTGAGGCTGGAGACAAACCTGGGGGAATCAGTGGGGTTTCCTGCAAAGGCACCGCGGGAACCGGCGGGGTTTGGTGGGAACAGGGCGTTCATGCTGCACCGCGGTGAAACTCAGATGCTGTGTCCGGCCAGGAATAAAAAGCAGGATTCGTGGTTGGGTGGCTTAGCAGGGCGAGATGCCGGGAGAGAGGCACTTCCAGAGCCGCCAATTCCAATAGAAATCCCAAGAAAGCAACGTCTTTGGCCTCGGTGGCATCAACCGTCACATGTCGGCAGTGGAGTCCAGGCCCCGGGATGAGCCCCAGCCGCCCGGAGCAGCGGGATTTGCTCCCGGGAAGCCACGAGGGAGCAGAAAGGCCCTGCCGGAGCCACCCCAACCTGCTCGGAGCTGGGCTTCCATTTCCAGGGAACGACGAGCGGGTCGGGGTGGAGGAAACCCGGCTCTTTCCAGCATTGCGTGTCCCTGCGTAGAGCACCTTGTAGCCCCCCGGCAATTCCCACTCCTTACCAAGGCACTGGGTGATCCCCGGGGGTTTACACCCCTCTTCACAACCGCCTCGCGGCCATGCTCTAGTTTTCAGTAACAAGGTTTGTGGGCAAAGCTTTCTGCCAGTAACCGGAGCAGCGCGGGGATTTGGGCGGCATTAGCTGTGCCGTCCCGCGGGAGGGACGAGGACAGAAACCCAACACCCGCCGTGGCCGCGGCTTTATTTAGCGTTTCTCCATTTACAGCCCCGCGCGGCCGACGCTCTGCGGCCGACGCTCCTTGCAGGGCAGGAGCAGCTGCCGGGTGACGCCGTTTTCCACCCGCCACCCCTGCAGCACCCGTTTCCCATGGGATCACTCCTGGTTTCCTCGCGGGAAGGACCCGCTTGGGTGTCCTCACCCTGCTTTAGCTGACACCCACCACAGGGACGGTTCAAGGCAGAGGTAAAGCAGAGCAGTTTCACTGGAGCTTATCCTGCTTGGGCACATTCCCACGGAAAGCAGCGGATTCTGGAGTTTTCCTCCCTAAAAGAAATGTTGCAGCTCAAAGAACACAGCACAGAGTTCGCAGCTGAGGACCCGCAGAATGCGGTTTGCAGGTGACGAGACCTGCAGCATGTGGTTTGCAGGTGACGAGACAAACATTTTTACTTTTTTTCTCAATTTCGTATTTATTCTCCACTCAGACACTCCCTCAGAGCTGACAAAACGATTAATACCTCGGCCAGGCGAGGCTGCGTCCTAAAGTGACATGGCACGGGCCAGCTTTTGAGGAAAGAGTAATAAAAAGCAATGGGACAGTGACAGGACCTGAATGGACGCGTATTTGTCAGCTGCTCTATTGCTCTCTCAGTGTAGGGCACATCGGGCCTGTAGTTTGGTCACTCGGATTTTCATGGAAAGGTGGTTGAAAGCAAATGTCCCTCACGCTGGAGAGGGGACAAGGCACACGAGTGCTCTAATGACGGCCTGAAAAGGGAATTGATCCAGCTGGTGCAGCCCTGGTGTAGCTGGGGGTTTTCCCAGCCACCACTGACACTGTGGATGTCCGTACTTGGAGCAGAACGGCTGGCGTGGGGACATCAGCACGGGGGAATCAGCCCTGCACCTTGAAAATTCATATGGTAGATGGTCACTGCAAGAGATCTGTGCGAGGTAAGAGTGGAGGAAGCAAAGCAAGGTCACTCTGGTGGAAATGCAGAGGGATTTAGTTCTAAACGAAGGCGAAGGCTGAGGGGGACCGCAGAGCCAGGCCCGTGCTCAGGCCCTCTGCTATGGGAGGTGCTGGATTCACGTGTTTCCAGGAGAGCAGCTACTGGTTAGGGCTCTCCAGAGGCCTTTTTGCAGTGACTTGCTCCTCCCTCCTCCTTCAGGCATGCTGTACCTTGAAGAGGCTGTGTATGTACATAAAAAGGTAACATTTTCGTGCAATCCCAAACAAACATGTTTAAAGAAATGAGTGTGGCATCCCCGGAGGTTTGCACCATGCATCATCAAGCAGGATGTGTTCTGCAACACAGAGCCCTCCAGGTTTCTTAGCTGAGCTTCCCGGGATGCCTCATGGCCATCCCAGGGGGAATTTTGCTAGAAGGTGGTGTGATCTCCACTGCTTCATCGTGAGGACAGGAGCCAAACGCTGACCATGTACTGGAAAGGACGGCACACTGACTCCCATGTACACTGACCTACATTAAAATATTATTGATTCACACTTCTGTGTAAGCGAAATCAAATCTCCAGCTGCAAGCTCGCAGCCCTTATTTAGTGGCCAACACATAGCAAAGTATCCACACCTCTTGCCATCACTCAGCAAAGGTTTCAGCATCTTCTGCTCACCACTGCAGGTCCTTAAAAGATGTCTGGGGTGGATGGATTTCTTCTCTTTGGCTGCTCAGTCACCCCACGCTGCATAATCCCCATCAGGATGAAGAGAGGAAAATCGTGGCTCACTTGGATGAGATTGCATCTGTTCCCCCATCACAGTCACGGGGCATCCAGGATTTGTCATTCCTCAGACTGTCAGAAGCTGGAGAGGTGGCTGAGGGCTGCAAGATGCATCTTCAATAATGCTGCTGCAAGAGGAATGTGGCAAAGAGCAGCTCTGGCCCTGCTGTTTGTGCCAGACGCTGCAGCTTGCAGCTGAGTTTGCTCAGCGACCGTGCTGGGAAGCAGAGTCTTCTCCTAAGTGCAGAGAGGGTTAATTCCCTGGTTGGCTTCTCCTCGCTTCCACAGCCTCCCCTTGCAGGGACTCTGAGCTATGTGAAGAGCCACTGCTGAGACCAAACAGGGGGACAACGGGGACCACGGGGCTCCCTCTGGACCTGGGCCAGGCCCAGCTCTGCTCTCTTGCTCGCCCTGCCCTGCCTCAGCGCAGGCTGCAACTGGAACCTGCTCCCGCTGCAAAATCCCCTTTTTGGGGATGGCTGGAGCTAATGCCCGGCAAACATCGTGCTTGCAAAGAGCCTAACAAAGCGGAGCAGAAGGGAGAGCTTTGAAAAACTCTCAACAAAGCAGCACTGTGCAGAAATGAAGAGCTCTCTGTTGGCTGGCGGCCCCGGAGGGTGGCTCCATGTGGCCAGCTGCACGTTAATTAATGCCTGATTAGCTTGTGCTCCGCGTTCTCCCCGTGCTGCAGGAAAGTGACGGAGAAGGGAGGGATTTCAGCACCACCAAAAGCGTGTCGAGGACTTGCCTTGCGTTTCGCTAGCATTTCCTGACTGATGGGTGAATGCAGAGACCAAGAAATGGGGCATTTGTATCTCAGAAGGCAAGTTTCATACAGAATCAGCCATTACAGGAGCTGAATTTGAAGTGAGCCTGCCTGATTGTAGGGGTAATCCTCACAGCCAAACTTGCTCCTGGCGTGGCTTTGGGAAGGGGCTGGCATAAGTTTTGCAGGGCAAATTCCTACACGTGCAGCAGCATATCAGACACTGAGCACTCTCTAGGAAAGCTCTGCTGGAACCAGGGGAAGTTTTGGGGAGCTGCAGCTTCCCCAGCTCCAGCAAGATACAGCCCGTGCAGGCTGGGAGTCAGCTGCTTGTTTAGCCTTACAGACAGAACTTGCCCAAATGCAAAATCCTCCTTGATTTTGTGCTTCTGCTCAACACCATTTCTCATGCTCTCCTGCAAAGGCCAAAGAAATGACATGATCTGATGCTGCAAACACACACTTACGCTGCATTTCAATCCATGGGCATAATGCCAGGGCTCTCCTTGGCAGGCCAAAGGATTCTGAATATCTTGCTTAACTCTTCTCTTGTTTGTGCTGCCGAAGGGCCTGTAGAAAGATCTCCTTCACTTGGTCCATTGTGTCTTGGTACAGTTTGAAGTCTTCCTCCTTCATTCTCACAGCAGTTTCCAAAGCAGCTTTCAGAGCTTCATTCTCATCCAGCTGGATCACAAGCCTGTGAGGAAACAAAAGGAAACTTTCATGTGAGCTGTGGAGCTTCAAACAAATGAAAACAGTGATTCTGCTCCAGAGAAGAAACACTGAAACATATGCTCTCTGCTAGTCGTGTGACAGGCATGAGAGAGAGCAGGCACAAAAACACTTGTTCCTTTTCTCTTTGAGACAGAGAATATTAGAAGGTAAAGACCCTTTTCAGACCTGCTTTGCTAGAGATGAAGATTTTAATTTCATTAATAAGCTTGCTATCAACAGTTAAAAAAAAAGAAAAGGTGTCTTTTTCTGCAAGTGCTTAACACATCTGGTGTATATATTATTTGAATAATTATTAGGAAGTTTGTGTAAGAGTGACATGGATAAAGAACAGCTCACAGACATCCTGTGATTTCTACCGAGTTGCTGTGTTCCATCATCTGAGGATCTGGTAATATCACTGTTGGGAGGACAAGGGTGAATCTTGGCTGTTGAGTTTCTGAAGAAGATGACAGTGTCACTGCACGGAGGAGGGCAAGGCTACCTTGTGCTCAGCTCTTGAATCTGTGATTCCAGAGGCAGCTTGGAGAGCTGGGCTGCAGAAAGCTCCTTATCGCTCACGCTCCAGGTGACTCTAGGCTGACTCGTGGATTGACCTGTAGATTTAATCAAAAATGGAAGTTTTAATAAAACAAAAAAGTGATCTTTTCACTGCTAGCACAGCAACTAAATCTCAGAAAGTGATGGATAAGTACTAAGGAGTTTGTCAAATTTTTCATATATCCATGAATATATTGTAAATATATAGGAGTCAGCATTCTCTTAATCTCCTCTCAGCAAAAGTAAAACATTATGTGTTTACATTTCATGGCTAAACACATTAATTTAAGTGTTTATGTACTTAAGAATGGAAAAAAAATCAAAAATATTAAAGTGGCCAAAACAATAAATGATCGAAATGGTTGAATGGCATTATTTTGATCTTTACCTTGTCATTGTATTTCATTTAAGCTGGCGACAACTGTTGCTTTTTGAACGACTGTGACAATATTTGTGTGGCACACACTGGAACAGCTTGTGTGAAACACTTTGTGATCCTCAGCATAAACACAGTATAGGTTTAACCCAGGAAAGGGTGTATAAATGCAATTAAAATTAAGCTTTCTAAATCAGGAATACTTTCCTAATTAAGAGTCTGTCAAAAGAGAAAGATCTTAGTTTCTGACCCTCACTACTGGGTTTGGAGAAGAAATAGTTACACTGCATAACCAAGAAGATGCCTTTATCTTGAGGTTGTATTTTACAGGATTGAGGAAAACCTGCTGTTAATTATCTATATTATCTTTGGATTTCTCTGGAAATCAGAATTTTCTTTGGAAATGAGAAATTTGGGTAAGACCAAAAAAAAATCCCAAGCAAAAACTACACTTAAAACACAAGTAGATTGTTTCTAGCTGCTCAGCATCCCTATCTATTTCCCTTCAACTGAAGAGACTAGAAACATTAGACTGGTAATTAGATCAGCTCTCTCCAATTTTGTCCTTTCAGAAAGAAAAGGGAACATTATGTAAATTAGTGGGTTCTCTAGTCTCTATTACACACTCAAGTTTTTCATCTCTTATTTCCTCAACTATCTGGCATGAAAGCATTTAGATAACATACAGGCTCTGCTAAAAAGGTAAATTACAGCCTTGCAGACTGGCTTCTTGTGCAGATTCCAGGGTGTTCTGCCAAGTCAGTAGGTGCTGCTGCCTTTTTCAAAGAAGGGCATGGGGATGTTTGTCTTACTAGTCTTGGTGTTAATCCTTACTTCATTTTCTTTAATTGTTAGGCAGACAAAAATAAGGAACTGAATGTTTAGTAAGGGGGAACCTGTGACGCTGGAGTGCTGTGCAGGCTGTGTTTACAGCTTGCTTCCTCCAAGCACAAAATGCCAGTTTTTTAGGGGGGATCCACCAAACCATTACTGCAGCCCAGCCTGACCACAACGGAAAATGTACCTGTAGGATAACACAACACTTTAAGCTATTGAGTTCTTATAAAAAATAATAAAAAAAAAACAGTTAAATCCTCCTCTAGAAGACAGGTTCTGAGTTCTTCTGCACTATTTTTTTCTGTATTTTATGGGCAGGAGTAATTTTCCAGCGTGAGCGGCACCATACAAGACATCTCATCGTCAAACAAGTGCACTAGGATGGGAGAAGCACAGAAAGCTTAAGCAGCACTTGCCATCACTGTCCAGCATTGTCTCTTGGCATTTAAAGCCTTTCTATTTTATAAAAATATATATAAAAAGAGAAATCACTGTAAAAATTTCTTTAAGGATATGTGCCATTTTATTGGTTTAGATATTTTATAGAATCAGAGTCCTTAAGCAATAAAAAGATCTGATCAGGGAAATAAAATTTTACACCTTGCCATGAATTCTTCTTTAACTAGGCTAGCAAGGCTTTCATATTTATAGCAGGAGATTATCATGTTCATAGGATAATAAATTATGCCAGATCTAATTACTTCGTCATGAGCAACAGTTCATCATGGGCACTGACAGGACTTAAATTGGGATGCGTCCTTTAATCCTGCTCTTAACCTTCAGAGGAAGCCCTCAGGCAGAAGAGGGACACAGCAACAGGCTGCTGTGCACAGAGCAGCACTGAGCTCTTCCTCTAGAACATCATCCCATGAAAACATCGTGTGGGAAAAGCCCTGGTGCCACTTAAATCCATGGTAAAGGCCCTTGAATTATATGGGGCCAGGATTGCACCTTCTGTATCGGTCCACTGCTCTGAGCAGCTCTGAATCACAGCGTGTGAGGCCAAGAAAATGAGAATCCCTGATATCCTTGGAGATGGCCTGGGGACACTCTCCTTGCTCAGAGCTCCACCTCACCTGCCTTGCTCCTCGGGGGAGGTTTCTGGGCACCCGTGTTCTTCCCTGGATCCGTTTTTAGTTTTTCAAGCTGCTGCTCCAACATGACACAGCGACGCCG